GGGAGCCTAGCTCCAGCCCCAGGGCCCAGGGAGGGCTGGGCATCCCTGGAGGGACTCTCATTTGCATGGCAGCCCCTCCCCTGGCAGAGGGTGGGGGAGAAAAGGAGGCCTGGGCAGCCCAGCCCCACTGTGGGCTCAGGGCTGTGAGCACCATGGCCTGGACTCCTCTGCTCCTCGCGCTCCTCTCTCACTGCACAGGTAGGGACAGGCCTGGGACCCGGCTTCTTCCCTTCCTGCTCAGGCTCCTGGGAAACGTCCCCTGGTCCCTGCCCATCACTCACAAGTGTCTGTGTCTGCAGGGTCCCTCTCCCAGGTTGTGGTGACTCAGCCGCCCTCCCTCTCTGCATCTCCGGGAGCCACAGCCAGACTCACCTGCACCCTGAGTGGTGTTTCCGATATCAGTGATAACTGGATACTCTGGTCCCAGCAGAAGCCAGGGAGCCCTCCCCGGTTTCTCCTGGAATATAAGTCAGACTCAAGTAAGAACCAGGGTTTCGGGGTCCCCAGCCGCTTCTCTGGATCCAAAGACGCCTCGGCCAATGCGGGGCTCCTGACCATCTCGGGGCTGCAGCCTGAGGACGAGGCTGAGTATTTCTGTGCTGCAGAACATGGCAGTGGGAGCAGCCTTCATTACTCACAGTGTCTCAGATGACGAGGAAGTGAGACAAAAACCCCTGGGCCCAGACATGGTGCCTCTGAGCCTCCATTAGGGAGAAGCTTCTGTGGAGGCCTCTGCCTGGAGATGGTGTTGGACCCACAGTTAAAGGGCCAGTCCCACAAGGTGCCAATCACAGGTGGGAGGTCCCAGGTTTCACACAACCTCTTGGTGATACAGCAAAGGTTCCCACAATCCCTCCCTTGGGTTCGATGAATTTTGCTAACTCCACCTGAGCCCGCTCCCCTTCAAGCGAATGGAGGCTTCCCAGCTTCTAATCCTCCCCGTCCACACCCAGGAGCCCACCCAGCGTCCCCTCATCAGCAAAGGCCCCCCGTCCTCCAGGGAGTGACAAGGGTTCAGGAGCCTGTGCCGGGGCCAGGGGCCGAGACCAGAATTTGTTTCCTATCAGCTCACATCCTGTGTCTGCAACTGCACATGGTCACCCAGACAGCCATGCTCCCACAGATTAATGTCACGTGTGTGAACCCTGTGTCACTACTGACCCATCATGTCTGATATGTTAGTGTCCACCCTGGTCATGGGCACCACCTTCTCCTTCTCTGATCAAACCCACAGAAGGTTGGTCACAACCAGTCCAGACTCTCAGTGACACCCTCCCTCCCCCTCTTCCCTCCTCTGCTGCTGCCTCCCTCACCTCCTCCTCTCCCTCGGGCTCCTCAGCTCTTAACTCCATCCTCACGGGAGGATTTAGGATAAAAGTGAAAGTTCCTGCTGTCATTGAAAAATTAAGAAATATTTGAGGTTAAAAAAAAAAGCAGAGGTAACGTTGCCTGGAATAATCTGCTCTTTTAACTCCCTGTCCATCCTGAATGGAGGGTTTCTTAGGCAACAGCTCACTTCTCCAGCATCTTTCTATTTGCTTCTTATTTATTGGTTGTATTATTCCCAATAAGTTATCAGTGTCCACAGCACAATGAATATATTAACTTTGGTCACATTAGGCCCCAGCAGGTTTGGCTCAGTGGCTAGACTGTTGGCCTAAGGACTGATTTGATTCTCTTCAAGGGCATGTACCTCGGTTGCAGGCTCCTCCCTGCCTGGGCCTGGTCAGACCGCCTGGAGGAGGCAACCAGTCTATGTGTCTCTCTCACCTCGATGTTTCTCTCTCTCCACTCTCTCTGAAAAATCAATGCGGGGAGAGAGGGAGGGAGCTCTCAGTAAACATCAATGGGAACATACCCTCAGGTGAGGATTAACAAACACACACAAATCTGAGTCACATGGGAAGTGGTGGCAGCTCTGGCCACACAGGCTTTCAAATCCCTGTGATCAGCCAGGAGCCAGGGCAGAGGACAGGAAGGCAGAGCGATGGAAAAGCCCAGAGCGTGACCGCGGCAGGAGGGGCAGGAGCCGGGGGGCCATCTAGGGTTGAGGGAGGCCCCGTGCGGGAAGGTCAGGGCACCGCCAGCTCGGGACTGAGCTCTGTGCTCACAGAAGGACATGGGGGCCCAGAGGCTTCTGAGCAGAAGCTCCTGCCCCCACCTCCCGACAGGGGCGGCCCAGCAGCGGCCTCTCCCAGGCTGCTCCCAGGGGACAGCGGGACCAGCTGTCCGCCTCCTCCAAACACAGAGGGAGCCCAGGGCCTTATGACTGCGCAGGGAGAGGGGCGGCCAGAGGCAGTCAGGACCAGACCTCCACGACCAGCCCTTTCCTGGGCAGGGCTGCCAGGGGGCGCGGGGCTGCCCTAGTCCACTCTGGGCCCAGCTGTGTGCCCCTGGCCTGCACCCTCTCCTCCTCCTGCTTCCCTCTCACTCCCCAAGGGTTGCCCTGCGCCCTGTGTCCCCCCGGGGGGCGCTGTGGTGGAATGACTGCTTCCCTCTCACTCCCCAAGGGTTGCCCTGCGCCCTGTGTCCCCCAGGGGGGCGCTGTGGTAGAAGGCCCTTCTGGCTGCTCCCCAGTAGCTCAGCTGGGCCCCTCCCCGCCCCACCCCCAGCCTCAGGCAGGGCTCCTGTGGGAATAGGCCCATCTCAGGCTTTTGTCTCTGGTGGAACCAAGGCCAAGTGTGAAGGAGGAGCTGAGCCGCCTGCAGACAGGGCAGATTTGCATGGAGCCTCCCCCTGGGGATCAGGGCTCATAAGAAGGTGAGGGCTCAGCCTGGCTGTGCGGCTCAGGGAGCAGAGTGTGGGGCGTGTGCACCATGGATTGGGCTCCCCTGCTCCTCGCCCTCCTGGCTCACTGCACAGGTGGTGCCTGAGGGGGGTCTGGGGGAGCACCTGTTTGTTACCCGGGAGCATGACCTCTCCCTCCCTCCCTGGCCAGGGGTCTGCGCTGTCCCCTCTGATGTCTGTGTCGCCCCCTCCTTGCAGGGTCCTGGGCCCAGTTTGTGCTGACTCAGCCCCCCTCTGTGTCGGAGTCTCCGGGACAGAAGGCCGTCATCTCCTGCACCCGCAGCAGCGGCAGCATTGGAAGCAACTATGTGCACTGGTACCAGCAGCGCCCGGGCAGGGCCCCCACCATGGTGATCTACAATGATAACCAAAGACCATCGGGGGTCCCCGATCGGTTCTCTGGCTCCATCGACAGCTCCTCCAACGCCGCCCACCTGACCATCTCGGGGCTGCAGCCTGAGGACGAGGCCGACTACTACTGTCTGTCCTATGGTTATGACAGCTATAAGCACAGTGATTCAGGCCCATGGGGAAGTGAGACAAAAACTCCCCAGAGCC